ATGAGGCAAATGTCAACGAGACGGGCACTGAGCTCGTGGATGACATGGTTGATGATGACCCCACTGCAGGGGCGTTTTCCGCTCGTGGTGGGAGAGCTTAGATTTATGTGTTAGTTTTGCTAGGATAGTTAAACTCTTTTTTATTTTTTATTTTTTATCAATGTCTTAATTTATTTTTATCGCTGATGTAGATGGGTATGTCCACTACTATTTCATTTGAAATTTCTACCTTGTTTGACATTTTAAGTTTTATATCTCGAGTTATCTATTTTGACATTGTCAAGTGTTTTGTGCGTTGCTGATATGTATGTAGCATTGTACACGATGTACTTGTGGATGTGATCAGTCTCCCAAGGTTTTTGTTAAGGGTCTTGCCCTTGTTCGGACCGCGTGGGTCTTAAATATGTTAGGTCCGTGGCCACGTTTTAAAAGTATCACCTCGTGAAACAAATAAAGAGACTTAGATAATCCAGCTGGCCAGGCTATATGGATTATCTAAATTTCTCTAAGTGTTTGTAGGGTTGTACAGCATTGAACTCGTTGTAACGGGTAAATAGTATAGATGTAAAGGCACAGAGAGTAAAGCAAAAAGTTTGATTTATTCAATGGTAGAAAGTGAGAATTGTTACAAGCCTACGTGAGGCGAAGGGAAATAAATTTGCGAATGTCATAAGCCTACGTGAGGCGAAGGGAGATAACTATTGTAGAAGCAAATAAGTTGAAATAATAAAAACTATTCTAAGTGATTATACTAAATTGTTCTTCTTCCACGTCTTCCTTGTACTCGTCAGTGTCGATGTGCTGATGGTAAATCGATTTCCTTTGGCGTCTCTATGCCTGAAAAATATAGTAGAATTTTTTTTAAATACTTGTATTGAAGACTTAGTAATTGTCTAAGCTGGGGTGATGTGTACTACAATGTCACGTACCCTACTACGGGGATTGTTTATCTACCTCGCGCTCCAAGATATGAAATCAACTCGTGAGTTGCTGTGATTTGCTGCGTAATCATGCCTGTTAAATTGAATTACTTTATCATGTTAGTATGAATATACAAGAGCATGCGTGTGATATTTTTTAGTGGAAATAGTGTTACCCTTGGCGATGTGGTATGGAGTATCTTCGCTCTTTGGGCCAGTGATAAGTAGTAAACATCCCCGCGTAATTTATACTCCAAATATAAGAAGGTGATGAAAAGTGATTATGGAATGCTGATGTAAGTAATATTACTAGCCCCCCAGTTTCGGTGGGTTTTTCACGCACCTCGTTATGGAGTAGAAACTTCCCAAGAGTGTAGAGACAATCTTTGCCAGACGAGTGACGTGAAAGGTCGCGAAGCCTGTAGGGGTAATGGTTTGTAAGCAAATTTTGTATGATGAGGACGAGGATGGTAACTTAAATGATATACCTCAAGCGTAGAACCTTTTGAGGTTCCCTATATTCCAGGTTTTGGGTATAGGATATCCGTCAAGGTTCTCGAGACGATATGCTCCAGTGTTGACCACTTGTGTGATTTTGTATGGTCCTTCCCATTTTGGGTCGAGCTTACCAATGGGGCGCGAGGCTTCAGCTTTTCGGAGGACTAAATCTCCCACTTGGAAGGATCGAGGGCGGGCCTTTGAATTATAGGCCTTGGCCATGCGAGTTTTGTACATCTGTTGTCGGATGTATGCAATCTCTCATAGCTCATCAACGAGGTCGAGGCTTCCTCGCATAGCTTCTTCGTTAGCTACGGGATCATAGTTGGTGATTCGCCAAGATGGTTCACCGATTTCCACAGGTGCGATAGCCTCTGTGCCAAAAGCCAGATTAAAAGGTGATTCTCCGGTTGCTGCTCGTGGAGTTGTTCGATAAGCCCATAGGGCGCTAGGCAATTCTTCCACCCACTTCCCTTTGGCACTTCCAAGCCTTGTTTTAAGGTGTTGGAGTATGGTGCGGTTCGTGACCTCCGTCTGGCCGTTAGCCTGTGGGTTGGCTACGGATGTGAAGAACTGTTTGATGTCCAAGCCGAGGCACCAATTCTTCACTTTGTCGCCACAAAATTGGGTTTCATTATCTGAATAATGGAACGTGGGATCCCAAAGCGACACACATTATTCTTCCATAGGAATTGAATGACTTATTCTTCTCGGATGCGTGCTAAGAGCTCGGCCTCCACCCATTTGGTGAAGTAATCCACGGCTACAATGAGGAACTTGCGCCCTCCCGTGGCGAGCGGGAATGGTCCGACTAAGTCCATTCCCCATTGGGCGAAAGGGATAGGGCTGTCAATCGGTTGCATTAGTGCCGCTGGAATGTGAGGGATGTTGGCATGCTCTTGGGAGGGCTTACACCTCTGGACTAATTTTTTTGCGTCTTCGTGCATTGTTGGCCAATAGTAGCCTTGCCTCAATAGTTTGAGTGCCAAGGTTCTACCGCTCAAATGATTTCCACAGATACCTTCAGGTACTTCTCGAAGTACGTAATTTGTTGTAGTTGGGTCGAGGCACTTGAGATAGAGGAATGAGAATCCTCGTTTGTAAAGTTCTTCTCCCACTATTACGAAGCGAGCGGCTCTCGTTTTTAACTTCCGTGTTTCGGTGGGGTCAGTTGGGAGTTCTACCTTATGATTGGAGTGAACCAGCGCAGTTCGCCGTCCTCGTTGTAATGCACTTCATCGGTTGAAATTATCTCCGGCTGAGGCGAGATAAGGAGCGTCACCTTCCGACTTCCGATGCCTGCCATGGAGCTTCCAAGCCTAGCTAATTTCTCCGCATGGATGTTACTGGAGCGAGGTACTTGTCTTATTTCGTAGCTCTCGAATTTGGCCTCGTAAGTTCCGAGTACTTGGTTAACGACGAGCTGAGAGTCGCTTTGGATTAGGAGCTTACGCGCTCCGGCTGCTAGGGCGAGGCGGATTCCAGCTATCAAGGCTTCATATTCAGCGACGTTGTTGGAGGCTATGAATTCGAATCGTTGAGCATATTCGAATTCATCTCCGTTGGGGTTCGTTAGTACGACACCCGCGCCCCCTCCTGTGGCTGTGGAAGATCCATCAACGCTGATAGACCAAGCAGGGAGGGAGGTGCTCTCTTATACTGAGGTCATTTCTACTACAAAGTCGGCCAATACTTGCGCCTTGATGGCGGGGTGGGGTTTGAATTCTACCCCGTACTCACTTAGCTCTATTGCCCATTCGGCTAACCGCCCGAATGTCTCGGGACTCCTTAATATCTGCTTCAGGGGGTAATTGGTTAGCACCATCACTTGATGAGATTGGAAGTAAGATCGGAGTTTCCGAGCTGCGTTGATGAGGGCGAGGGCGAGCTTCTCCATATTGGTATAGCGTTGTTCGGCTCCTTGGAGGGCGCAACTTATGTAATATATGGGTTGGTGACCTTTTCCTCCATCTCGGATGAGGACTGCGCTGATGGCATCAACTGAGGTAGCTAAGTACAGGAGGAAGGTGTCTCCGGGCTGAGGTTTTGTAAGCAAGGGTGATGATGCAAGATATGACTTCAGCTCGATGAACGCCTTTTGACATGCTTCATCCCATTCAAACTTTTTTCCTCCCCTTAAAATCTTGAAAAATGGGAGAGCCCTGTCTGCTGATCTTGAAATGAATCTATTCGATGATGCCAGACAGTCGTTAAGTTGTTGGACTTTCTTGATAGATGTTGGTAGAGCCATGGAGGTGATGGCTTCGATTTTCGTGGATTAGCTTCGATTCCCCGTTGCGAACATTTGAGGGGGTTGAGTTTCATCTTATATTTTTGCAGGGTGGCGAAACACTGATCCAAATCGGTTAAGTGGTCCGAGACCTTGACACTTTTGACGAGCATGTCGTCGATGTACACCTCCATATTCTTGCCGATCTGATTTGCGAACATTGCGTTCACTAGACGTTGGTAAGTGGCTCCTGCGTTTTTTAACCCGAAAGGCATGACTTGGTAACAATAGATGCCTTGATCTGTGACGAAACTGGCCCTCTCTTGATCTTCTGGGGCGAGCAAAATTTGATTGTATCCTTGATATGCGTCAAGGAAGCTGAGGAGCTCGCATCCTGAGGTCGAATCGATGAGTTGGTCGATTCTCGGTAAGGGAAAGGGGTCCTTCGGACAAGCTTTGTTGAGGTCAGTGAAGTCCACGCATAACCTCCACTTGCCGCCGGGCTTGGGAACGAGTACTACGTTCGACAACCATTCAGGATACTGAACTTGTCGTATATGACCTGCCTCTAGAAGTTTTGCCACTTCCGCCTTAATGTGTTAGTTGCGTTCGAGACCAAATGTCCGCTTCCTTTGTTTGATCGGTTTCAACTTTTTGTCGACGTTGAGCCCATGTAGAGCTACCTGAGGGGGAATGCCCGACAAATCTTGATCTTTCCAAGCGAACACATCGCCATTGTGCCGCAGGAATTTGACTAGTTGCTTCTTCATCTCTGGATCCAAATTGGATCCGATGCGTAGGAGCTTGAAATCATCTCCAGGTGTGAGCTCTATGAGCTTAAGCTCTTTGACGGCCGCTAGCTTGATGCTATCGTCAGGTACACTGATGAGGATTTCTCTATCGTCATCAATGTTTGCGTTGACCCGTTTCCGTTTGTCGGATTTTTGGGTGTCGTCTTCCCTTCCGGACGGTTTAGGCTTCTTGGATGGTTCTCGTAGGGCTCTTGCATAGCACTCTCGGGTGAGACGTCTATCTCCAAGTACTTCCCCCGTTCCATAAGGAGTGGGGAATTTCCACTTTTGATGGTAGGAGGAAGATACTGACTTGAATGTATGGATTGCTGGCCTCCCTAGGATGATGTTGTCGGGGGATGGCTTGTCGACGATGAGGAATTTGATTATCTTGGTAATTCGACAAGGGTTGTCCCCTAAGGAGATGGGCAACTCCACTTCTCTCATGGATAAAACGGCATCTCCCGTGAATCATTTTAGGGGCGTGGAGATGGGGCTAAACCGGGCATTATCTATGCCCAGCTGCTTGAAAGCGTGGAGATACATGATGTCGGCTGAGCTTCAACCGTCCACTAATATCTTCTTAACTAAGAAGTTGGCCACCGACGCTGTGATTACCAATGCATCGACATGATCTTCATTTGGACCTTCAAGGTCCGAAGAGTTGAAGACTATGCTATGATCAGGTCTTCGTATCTGATTGATAGATGCGGATGGAGAGGCTTGCTCTTGATTCATACGTGCTGACCGAGCAAGGGAGCGTCTCGCATTTTGTGAGTCGCCACCCGCCGGTCCTCCAGAGATAAAGGCAATGACTCCCCAGGTGGGTTGATTATCATTGTTATCTTGTTCTCGCCGATGACCTCCTTCCTCTCGTTGTTGTGGTTGATCTCGATTGTTATCTCGGCGTGGGGGGTCATCACGACGCTTGTTTCGAGGCTTATCGATGTATTCGCCTAAGTGGCCCTGCTTGATCAATCTCTCAATGGCTACTTTAAGTTGTGCACATTCCTCGGTAGTATGTCCTCTATCCTTATGGAATCGACAGTAGCGATCCGACTTTTCTAGTTTCGCATTTGGCTGCATAGGGCGTGGAGGTTCTGTTAAACCTCTTTGTTCTATCACATGAAGGATTTCAGTAAGGCGAGTGTTTGGCGGAGTGAACCTATTGTAGGAGGAAGATGATTGGCCTTGAGGTGGGAGTGGTGGACGTTGATCATCCCGTCTCCTAACGTCCTGACGGTCATCTTCCCTCTTCCTTTTGGAAGGAGCATGGGTAGAGGCTTCCTCTATTCGTACGTATTTCTCGGCTCGGTTCAGCAATTCATCTAGGTTGCCTGGAGGCCTTCCAGCAATAGATTTTTTTAACCTACCCGGCTTCAAGTGTTGTTGCATGATCCCGGAGAGCATGTCTTGTCCTACGCTTGGGACTTCGTGGACGGCTTCTACAAAACGATTGATGTAGTTGCGGAGCGTTTCGTTATCTCTCTGTACTACAGAGAAAAGGTGGGCTGGGGTCTTGGCATACTGCTTGTTGATGGTGAATTGATTGGTGAAGCGTGTTGAGAATCGAGCGAAGGTGTCGATCGATCATGTGGGTAGAGAGTTGAACCAATTCATAGCTCTCTTGGAGAGAGTGGTACGGAACATTTTGCACATTGCAGCGTCCGTTAAGCCATACAAATCTGCCATGGCGTTAAATTTCTCTATGTGCTCTTGTGGGTCGGTGGTCCCTTCAAACTGAGGTAACCCCGAGATCTTCACTCCTTGAGGTAATACCTCGTTGAGGATGTCCATGGTGAAAGGACTGCGTCTTACTGGGGCGGGCATTCTTCCGCCAATTGGATTGTTCAATTGGGGGAGGAAATTTGGCGAGACATTCTGTTGTCTTCTCCATCATTAAAGAGAGGGACTCTCTGTGGAGACGCATTCCCCCGCGGGGGTGAGCGCTGACGTTGCTGTCTGGGCTGTGCCCCCCTGTGATTGGTGGATAGTTGCACTCGGGACCGTGGGTCCGAGGTGGATGATGAGACACTTATTTGGTTTTGGATCGGCGGACATGTGGAGCTGGTGCTGGTATCGCATTGGGAGCATTTGCTCCCATCGTGGTGATATATTGGGTCACGCCCTCTGTGGGGGCGCGAGTTGAGGCTTCTGCTATCATGCGTTGGAGTTATAATAGGGTGATTTATTAAGAGTTAGACTTAAAAATGTCACATGTCACAAATTAGTGGAATCCGATTTATATTAAATATCGGCTCATCCGTTCAGAATTTAATCTCTTCTTATATATATATATATATATATATATATATATATATATATATATATATATATATATATATATATATTGTTTTGAATGTGATAGAATGCATACAAGAGAATTAAAAATGATTATCCCTTAATTGCAAATTAAAAGCCAATGAACTGATTAATTAGGTGGTTGGCTGATTAATCCTATGCAGTAGTTCCTTATTGTATGTCGAAATCAATGGGGAAATAAGGGAGAATACATTAGACTTAGTTTATAATTTCAAAGATATTTAAAAATTTAATGTTTTTTTATACTATCATTAAAATATTCCGGAGGCAGAGAAAAGAAATTTTCATCAATGCAATTATAGATTAGGTCGATAAAAAACTAGCCAAAAATTCTCTTGTCTTCTTCTTCTTCTTCGGATTTCTGAAAGAAGAGGAGGAAGAAGAAGAGCGATGAAGAAGAGAAAGAAAAAAGACAATAAAGCCCTTCCAAATTGTAAATGCAACGCATATGCGTCTAATTCCTGCTATTTTCGCCTGAAAATTAAAAAAAGAAAAAAAAAAAGAAAAAAAAGGGCAACGTGGCACAACTTATTGAGTTCAGGTGTGACGGATTTTTTTTTTTATTTTGGTTTTTAGGTGGTAATCATAAAAAACGGACAAAGTTTAGATGGTTTGAAACTATTTACCCTTATTTGTATTAGGTTAAATGAGTTTCCCATAATATAAAAACACAATCAATGCAAAGGATTTCCAATAAAAGAACCAGGAAATATTCAATAATCTACCAACTATTTAAACTCAAGAAGTTGGCAACATTTTTCATACACAAAAAAAAAAAAAAAAACATTAAACAACCATGGAGAAAACCAATCTCTATTATTTGCTTTTGCTTTTCACTTCTTGTGTTCTGATTTCTGCATATGCTAATGATGAAAAACAAGTAAGTCAATTTAATGATTGATTGTTTTTTTTGTAATTAACATGTTGATGGACTATAAATTTTGATTACGCTAGACGAAGAGTTGGTGCATCGCTCGATTAACCGCAGATCTTGATCTGATGCAAAGCTATATAAACCTAGTATGTACATTCGAGGACTGCTCACCCATCAAACAAGGTGGTGCATGTTTTTTCCCTGACCTCGTACCGAATCATGTCAACTATTGTCTTAATGTCGTCTACAAACGTAACGGTACATGCGAGTCGAATATTGGTAGTATTACCACAATTGATCCCTGTAAGTTTTCTCTTTCTATATATATAGTAGTATATATAGTATGACATTTTTTATTCTGATTACCATCATTTCTAATGAACACTTTTTGTTTCCATTTTTTTTATGTAGCCCATGACAATTGCATATATTCGTGAATGCAATAAAATGTTCCAAGTGAGAGCAAGGATGGTGAAGGTGCAATTTAAATAATACAGACAAGAATGCCTCTCAAGACTCAAGGGGATTAATTTTTATTTACCTAATTCTTAATTTATCACTTTGTACCCAAATCGAAATAGAACAAGAAAAATATTGCAATAAGGTTATTAACAAACCCAGTACTAAATTATTTGCAGTACTTATCAAGGTTCTACTGTATTATTATATTCTTGTAATAGGACAAAATGCACTTCATCCCTAAAAAAAATTGTTTTTTGCAATTCCCCCTACACATTTTAGAAAGAAAAAAAATTCTTCCTTTAAAATTTTGTTTCGATTGCACTTTGCCGAAAGTTGTAGTTTATGGTATATTTCTTTGCAAGAATTTCCATGAATCCGTCCAACTAAAGGACATTTGTGTCATTTCAGGGATGGATTACTGTAATAACTACTACCGAAGATTCTCACAATCTTGGGATCACAATAGACACATTTCATTTTGTGGAAAACAAAACCCTTATATTTTTTATGTAATTATTGAAATGGGTTTTATTTTTAGCATAATAGAAAATATTAGGATATTAACATTTGGATGGGAATAATGAAATGACTCAAATGCCCTTGTAGAAATAGATTCCAATAAAATATACGCCGAAAATTCTGATTTAAGGCAAAGTGCATATATCTCGAATAAAATTTTGATTGGGGAGCCTTCTTTTTTAATTTGTAAGAGAAAAAGTGCAAAAATAAAAAAAATTATAGGGAGTGAAGTTCATTTTACCCTTTTTTTCTAGAAAAAAGTGCAATAAAATCCCCTTAATAATCATGTCAGTCTCTTTATCAAGCAAATGTTTATAGAATAAACATATATTATATACCGTGGGTGTACAAAATAAAATAACAAAGAGAAGTATAGATTAAACGAGAGGAGAGTGGATGAATTGCTAAATGAAAGCTCTATTATTTCATATGAGAAGCCTACATATATAGATAATTCATATACACATGCATGCATTGAGCCACCTGTGTATATTAGCTAACTATCATTTACATAGCAACACGTACAAGCCACGTATTGGTCATTCTTCTCATTTGTCTTGGTCCACGTATGGGATTGACCAAGTGGAAGATAGCTTAATGATTAAGTTTACAAGGATATATTACAACAACAAATAAATTTTAGCGTCCTTTAAACATATTTTGAGTGCCAAAATATATTTTCTCATTAAAAAATAAGAAAGAAAAATTTGTATTTCAAGTTCTACTAAAATATATTTTCTGTAATATATAAATGCCGTGTTTTCAGTTTCCTATGAAAATATGGTACATTGCAAATAAGTTCATTAATTTGTACTTATTCAAAAATAGGTTCAGATAAAAAAACTCTTTTATAAAAAAATTCACACATAGTCCGGAGGTTTCTCAAATTTTAATATGTTCAAATTTCTCCATTTACTTTAATTTAACCCCAAATTTCACAAATTATTCAATTTTTACCCAAAATACAATTTTGAGTACAATTTCGCCCATCGCCGCTGTTGACTGCCGGTCTTAGGAGTTGACTTTTTTTTTTCTTATTCCTGACTTTTCCGCCGGTTTCCGGCGTTGGTTTATTTAAAAAAAAATTCTTTTATCTTTTTTTTTAATTTTTTTGTCTTTTAACATCTTTTTGCCCCATTTAAACAACAACATTGTTGTGGTTGACATGGATACTAACTATATTACTGTTAAACACAGTAATATTAACCGTACTACAGTTTAACACAGTAATAATGTTATATTAATCTCTAGCACAATAATATTAACATAACAAAAGTCATTATTATTGTGTAAATAGAGGTTATTTCTATGCTACACCCGGTGAAGGTTACACCGGGTGATTTTTTACCGTTGATCTACACACACCAATGTGGGTGTGTGTGTGTTTGTGTGTATATGAATGATAAAGATTTACCCGGTGTATTTCACCCGGTGTAGCACAGTATAAGCCGTAAATAGAGTAATATTAATATGTTCACCGTTCAACAAAGGTAAAAATAATAAAAAACCAAAGTAATTACTGAAATGATAAATGTCGTTTTAATTTTACTAATGTCGTTTTGACTTCGAAAGTGATTTTGACTATTTTCTATTTTGAATTTGGCAAAGTTCAAAAGATGGAAACCGTAGTCCTTTGAGATAGCTTTCCAATACAATGTGAATCACCTGGATTGGATGTCGGGTGACAAAGTTATGCATGAATGAGTTACGTTTTAAATTTTACGTAATTTAAAACATCAAAGTTGTGGCTAGTGTTCATTAATTCATGCATAACTTTCTCAACCGACATCCAATCTCGGCGATTCAAATTAGATTAGAATGCTAACTCAAATAATTACAAATTCCATGTTCTGAATTTTGCCAAATTCAAACTCGAAAATGGTCAAGATCACGTTTGAAGTCAAAACGACATTATGAAAACTTAAACAGCATTTATCACCTCCCAAGTAATTAATATTGATGTGGTTGACAGTAAAACTGTCATCCACAGTAATATTACTGTAACAGTAACATTACCGTCAACCACAACAGTATTATTGTGTTTACAGTAATATTACAATAGTAGACAGTGATATTATTATGTTAATCCGTCAACAATTCAAACAAAACCAAAGACCAAAAAAGAAAAAAATATTAATGTGGTTAACATTAATATTATTGTGTTTACAGTTATTTTACCGTCAACGACAGTAATATAATTACGTTGACTTGTCAACAAATCAAACAAAAAAATGCCAAAAAATAATAATATTGTCGCGGTCTGTAATTGTACTGTCAACGACAGTACAATTACATAAGTGTACTGTAAGCGATAGTACAATTACGTTAATGCACTGTCAATGACAGTACAATTGCGTTAATGTACTATCAGTGACAGTATAATTATTGTTAATGATAGTACAATTACGGTCAACGTTTAGCGGTTGAGGTAAAAAAACGTGAAAAAAAAATCAACGACAGAAACCGGCGGCAAAAAAATAATTTCAGAAAAAAAAAGGTCAATATTGGATTTTTGTGGTCAAAATTGATTGAATTAGGTTACAATTAAGAATTGGGTGTAAAGAATTGATGATAATATTCCATACTTTTGTTTATAATACATATTAAACGGATGAACTTATTTGCGAAAGAGATATAACCCCTGAACCTAGAATAATAAAAAGATGGTTGGTCAGGATCTTATGCACAAAAACCACATGAAAATATATATATAAAAAAATATTTATTCTAAAAAATTCTTCCAAAATCTTTTTGTCAAAGCGGAATGAAAATAAATCTCAAATCAGTTCCAAACATTGATTATATAATCTTAGGCACATGGCGAATAGGTCCATAATAAATGTATTTAATTAGAAAATGGATATCCAATTTTTTTTGTTTTACAAATATATCAATCTCATTCAAACTTATTTGCAAATAATGAAAAATCTTTTATATATACCAAAATTACCCCAATCCCTTGAAACCCTGTAATTCAATTCCAATTTCATGATTTACGCCACAATTTCACCAATTTTAACCCTTATTCCAATTTTGTCCTCAATTTGACTGCCGTACCCCGCGACCAGAGACTGTGTTGACTTTTTTTTTTTGAAATTTTTTTTCTTCTGAACTTTTTTTTTTCACTACAGGTCGCCGTCGGTCTTCGGTGTTTACTTTTTTTTTTTAACCTTTTTTTTTCTGATTTTTTTTTCCCAACATGTCAGCCAATGACTGCCGCGCTGAGATACTGATTTTTTTTTTTTTTGATTTTTTTTTAAAATATTTATATTTTCATTAGTATTACTGTCTTACCTACAGTATTACTGTCTCATTAATCAATTTCATCTTCTTGGCCTGCAATATTACTGTCACTTGTAGTAAATTACTTTTTGGGACAGTAATATTAGTAATATTATTCTTTGGAACAGTAATATTAATAATATTACTGTTTTTGCATTCAATATTACTGTCTCGGACAATAATTTTGTTGTTAACCCGGTAATTTAGAGAGAGAAAAAAATTTTCAAAATAAAAAAAAGTCATCGACCGGAAAAAAGAATTTCAGAAAAAAAGGTTAACGCTGGAATCTGACGGGAAAATATATCCAAAATAAATATTTTCTAAAAAAAGTTTTTTTTTTTTAAATATGAAAAATGAGTTAATAATATATTTGTTAAAATCTGGGGTCAATATGCAATATTGATGAACTGAAGATATTTAATATATTTAACTTGTCTCTCCAATTTATTTGAGATATGATTTAAAGTGTTTTAATTTATATTGTTTAATTAATATATAAAGTATTTACTTATTTTGGGCTATATTTTAGTAGAACCTCGATAAATTACTAACACAGCTTTAATGATAAAATTTCTTGTGATCCCGACTTGGTAATATTTACAAGCACACCCAAACGAGCCCTTACCCCACAAATAGGGCGATTTCGCCACGTGTCCTCCAACCTTTATATTAGTCTACTCTAAACTCCAATAATTAACTACCCTACCCTCCCCCACCCCAACCCCCGGTAATCAATCAATCATGAAACTCCACATTTTCACACACAACACACACTAGCCATGGATTCCTCTCTCCTCCGCTCAATTCCGCCCAAACCCCCCTTCTCAAACCCCAATTAACGATTCATAAACTCTCCTAACCCTAGTTTCCTACCCTACCGCTATGGCTATAATCACGGGCGATAGGTATCTCGAATCACTCGTAAAATTCGTGGAGAATCAGGCGGAGAGGTTAATTGAAGGGACTCTGGTGCTGAAATTGAATCCGGTGGGTTTGCGGTACGTTCAATCCAGGCTGGAAGCGTTGGCGGAGGTGGAGAGCTTGTTGGCCGGGGCTCCGGTTGATTATTTGCGGGCTTATGTTTCTGATTTGGGTGATCACCGAGCACTCGAGCAGTTACGGAGGATACTCCGCCTTCTTCCGTCGTTGAAGGTGGTTTCGGTTTTGCCTCCTCTGCGGCGGGATCCAACGCCGCTGTACCTGCTTCCGTTTGCGAGGTTGAAGGTGTTGGAACTCCGCGGATGTGATTTGTCCACATCGGCTGCTAAGGGGTTGCTTGAGTTAAGGTTCACGCTTGAGAAATTGATTTGTCATAATTCAACCGTGAGTTCTAATCGTTCTTTTAATTGGATTTAATTCCTAGTTATCGAGGAATTTGGTTTTAATTGTGCTTTGATTGCTTCAATTTGGGTTGAAAACTTGAAATTATCGTAAATGGACTTTGATTGCTTTAAGTTCTTATATTTGACATTGTTATATATTGAACTTTGGTATATTTTTCATCAAAATTGTCTCAGGATGCACTGCGGCATGTATTTGCGAGTAGAATTGCGGATATTAAGGATTCACCGCAGTGGAACCGGTTGTCTTTTGTTTCGTGTGCGTGTAACAGCCTGCTTCTTATGGATGAGTCTTTGCAGCTTCTTCCTGTGGTTGAATCCCTTGATTTGAGTAGGAACAAGTTTGCAAAGGTGGATAATCTCAAGAAGTGCACCAAATTGAAGCACGTGGATTTGGGATTTAATAACCTGAGAAGTATTGCATCATTCAGTCAGGTAATTTCTTGAAATTGGATTTAAATCGATAGGAGATACTTAGAGCTGAAATGAATGTATTCAACGGATGCTGTGTATTCAGTGGAGGTTCTGACAATCAAGTTTCTGTAGACAGATTTAAGGTGTATAATAATTTCTATGTTTTAATTCTATAAATATATATATTCTAATTATAAACATCTTAATCAAAATTCAAAAATAGATTGCAGCTGTAAGAAGATGCTTATAACAGTCAGTTAAGTATAGAATCTTCCCTAATGTATATTATAGTCGTGTATGCTTCAGTGAAGATTTTCTCTTTCAACATTCAGATTTGTTGGTTAAGATCTGCTACGAAGTAATTTACACTGGCCATAGGTTGTTTTACTGAGGTTTCCAAGACTAAGTCAAATCAGGTCCCTGACACACTAAGATTTCTTGTATAATAAGTTCAGAGTGTAGAAGTCTTGAGCATGTCTGGATTCAAAATTTTCATAATGTTTTAGCATTTCCAACACTAAATTAAAATATGCTCCTTTTGACCTTTTCCTGGCACCATTTCTACAATACTTTCAGATAATAAAAAGTATTTTCGTAGTCTACACTTTAATTTTAAAAGCATGTACCTTCTTTCCAACAAATATGGCTTCATTTTCAAAACATATCTTTATTATGCTAAACAAAAATACAAAAAGTATATTTTCTCTGGACAGTTTCAGTTGATCAATTTCTTTGCAACTACATAGATCTTACAAAAAAAACCGTTTGATAAAAGTTTTCTGTAAAGGTTATCTTCGTTTGTATGGATTTCTGGAAGCCGTTGCATGAGGTGTCAAGGGTGGGTTTTTTGTATTTGGAGCTTTCCCTCTTTATGCACTACTATCGTTAGAGGGGTCGTTTTTTTGTCTTTCTTCAAATGACTTCTTGATTGTATTAACCATTACCCGTCTTGAGTCCTCCATTTCTCCTCATGAATTTTCTCACTGTATTGCTGTTAGATGCTGTAAGTTACTTACCTCTCACATTGGCAAAGATGCTCATATATTGCAAAGATAGTACAAGAAATGAATATACAAGATAAATAAAGTAGCCTCTTAATCTGATTCAAATCCTTCTTCAGTCAATTTGACATGCTATAAGCACAACCAAGTGCTAACTTATAAATATTGTCCCCATCAGTAGTCGTTTATATTTCTTTGCAGGGAATATGACTCAGCCCCATTTTAATCATGGTTTGTGCAGGTCTCGTGTAAGATTGTTAAGCTTGTGTTGAGGAACAATGCTTTAACTTCATTGCATGGCATTGAACATTTGAAGTCACTACAAGGGCTTGATATTTGCTACAATATTATTTCAAACTTCTACGAGATAGAGATCCTTGCTGGCCTTCCATCTCTTCAGAACTTGTGGTTGGAAGGAAATCCTCTTTGCTATGCAAGATGGTTCAGAGCCCAAGTTTTTAGTTTTTTTGCGCATCCAGACCAAGTAAGATATTGTTAATTAACTACTTTCACTTATCTATTGGCATATATATATATATATATATATATGTATATATATATATATATATATATATATATATAGTTTAATCAGATTTTTAAGAGCAATTCTAACTTTTAACTAGTTATACACTTGTATCGGATATGAATAATGTTAAATTTTCATGTGGTGTAGCTTAAACTGGATGACAAGAAAATCTCCTCATGTGAGTTCTGGAAGCGTTCAATCATAATTTCAAGCCGTCACGAAAAGCCTGCTAGCTTTGGATTCTATTCACCTGTCCTAGATGATGCTGATGTAGAAGGAAGTATAAATTCAAAAAGGGTACGAAACCATTTGAGGGTGACACCCACTTATCTTCGTGGGTGATATGATTTTTGAACCATTTACTGAATTGAGAGTTTAATAACAATATACCTCTTGTCTAATGTTTTGCAGAAGCGAATCTCTCGTCTTGCATGTATTGAGAATGACGAGCAAAGTGCATGTATAGGTTCTGACCAAGACTCACTGTCGTGTGAAAATGAAATTCAAAGCAAAGATGAGGATGCCAATGCTGTCGAAGAAGCTGAAATAGATGATTTGATGAAAAGAATTGAATATATGAAGAAAGATCATTCTGTCATGTGGCTGCAGGAATTTAAAGAGTGGCTGAGTCAATCATCTGAAAATGGTGTTGGTGGTAATAATAAATTTAGGAGTGCCATCTCACCTAAGAACAAAGAGATGCATCCGAAGAGCGAGATAAAAGATGAGGACCTTGCCGAGACCTCGAGATATATCTCCGACTCTTATCAGCTTTCTGAAGACGAGAGTAGCACAGCCATTCTAGAATCTGGAACCTCCTTTGCAGATACATCTACCGTTGTCAGTGCCAAACAATATTTCGATCAACTTAGTGAATCCGCTTCAAGATTTTTCATGGGCCATGGTGCAGGGGATAGACCTCTCTTGAGAAATTCTAACGTGAATCAGGAAGATGTGAGATTCTCAAATAATGAAGGGAGTGCGTCTGCATTTGCTGGGAATTCGCGCTCTAACGCCCTTGCAGTTCCCAGAGACGGGGATAACATGCATACCAAAAACGTAATCTCCCCTTCGACTTCGATAAATGATATTAGTGGCTCCCATTCATCGTCAGCTTGCCTAGGATCTCCGCCTCATTACCAAGAAGATATTTTGCATCGACGCCATAACTTAGAAGAAGAATTTCTGCAGTTATCTGCGGAATCTTTCTCAGTGGCATCTTCAGATAGCAGTACAAGTTGTAGTGACGATGATTCCGTGGAATTTGGCACTGCGATAACTCGTGTTGATCAATCTGTTATTGACAATTCATCTGAACGGAGTGGCAGTGCCTTCTTTTTAGCACCTTACCGAGACGATGCAGGTGATGCATATCCCGATAAAATTATTTTGTTGAAGCAAAATGGGACATACATGTCAAGTCCTTGCACTGAAGGAAATTTTGCTAGCATCAGCCGTAGAGAGGTGGAAACCTCCCCCCTTGCTTGCAGCAGCAGTTTCGACGATGATGTGCACGATGGTGAATCTTTAAGATCTGTTAAGGGGAAAACTGATTTGTTGAAGACAAAAAAAAATAGGAAACCAAGAAAAAAAATGATTTCTTTACCTGAGGAGGATGATGTGCATGGCGACATTGACTCGTCGAAAAAGTCCAGTGACCATGTGGGAGACCTGCAGAAGTGATATAGTTCATGGAGGACATGAAATCGGTTGGTGATGTAAAAACCCGTGCAGCTACAATAGAGTGACATAGCTAACCCCACTATTAAGTTACAGAGTTCAATTCATCAATTGAATGAAAGATGATGTTATTGAGAGTTATTTCAATTCCAGCGTGGCTTATGGTTGGGTTAGTGAATGTCTAGTTAGTACGTGTGCTGCAATTTTCAGACCAGGATATAATGAAAGGTGAACTTTTGCTTATCGAATTATTTCAAACTGATATGTATAAATATAATGTTTACTGTGTGGGAGTTTTGTCCTTTTATTTTTTATATTGCTTCCACTGCTTTCCTATACTGTATGGCATGATTCTATTATATGAAGCTTGTAAACGTGGAAATGAGCATATGTTTATTGCATGTGCCGTTATTTCCAACTTGATGAAGTTTTTCTTGTTACGTAGCTTGTGTAAATATCAAGATTATTGAAATATATTCAAACTTGTTATTAATACTACTTTTCCCTGTTCTGTATATGAAGGGGACTATCAATGCAAGGGAGCTGCGAACAAATGTTGTAGATTCTACGTGTGGATGCATGTGATGAGTCAGGTTAGCTCTTTTACGGCATGAGCTTGTGCTAACTGTATTGAGATTAGTGAGGGTTGCGCATAAGCTTTTGTTATTGTAATGCATGGGTATTGGAGATTTGTTTGCCTCTTGATGTATGTGAAGGTTCCGTTATTAATATATTTTCGTACTCCGTGGTGCTTTTCTGTCTGAAAGAACTTTAATATTAAAAGAATTATATGAGTGTTCCTTTGATATTAAATGAATTGTCTGAAAAACATGTCCAAATCATCTTTGTTCTTAAGTTCAAATTAAATTTAGTGAAGAAATCATCTTTGTTTTTGCAGGTAATAGATACTTCAGATAGCCGATGTAACTTTAAATTTGGAACGTATGTAAAAGTTACACCCGTGACGCATTCCTGTAAGAGCAGTCTGATCCCTTAGCACCATCAAAGCTTAAAGTAGTTCTTGAGTGATAGTCGATTCAACTCTATGGCCTTACTCATCGTGGCTTCTTGTCTAAATCTGAGTCGTGATCGGAGCAGGAACTTGCTTTAGCCCTTTATTCATTTGCTTTTAATTTGGTTTTCATTCTTTTGGTCTGGGATCACATTTGGTTTCATGTTCCTGTTGTAAATGAAACATTTATTCCATTTGTTCCATTTGTAAAGAATCTTATGGTGTACATATTAGTTGTTATACGACATGTAGATATAAACAAGCTTCGAAGGGTTGTGAAATGATTATACTACATCAAAATCGTTGCCCCCATACGTGAATCTTACAATCTTTTTTACCCTTCATTCCCCTAATATTTTTAGGGCAAGAAATTGGATGAAGCGGAGAATTAGCCTTTCTGGAAATTTTCCAAATACTGGCTTTCAATTTCAATTCCAAAATTTTTTAATCTAAAAATTTAATGCAAAAAGCCTTGATTTTTCGAATTTGGAACATTGGAAAATTATATAACATTTTTTTTCCATTTTCCTGAATATTTCCCATTCGCACCAATTTCAGTCTGAAACTTCTAAATTTTGGAACACTTTTTTTTCTTCGATTTTCATTTTTCCTGAATGTTTTTGGATTGAAATTAGAAATATATTGTTCTTAGAATTTCGGATTTTCGATTTGATTTAATTACCGAAACAATGATAAATTTCTAATTTACATGTTTTACTTTAGTGAAAAGTTAATTATAAGTCTAATGTATTTTGCTAATTTCAACCTTTGAAAGTATGGTAGTTAATACAAAATTTTGATAGTTCGTATATTTCTTTCTATATTTCAAGTTGTGTTTCTATATATCTGGTTATCAGTGATAGATGTGGATATCATAGATGACTTTTATTTTTTATTTTTTATTTGCAATGAGTCACCGGTAAAATTTACGCAATTGATTTTTATAAAAGTCGGTGTTCTTACTTTATGAAATCTTATTATGAAATTTTATGGAATGTACGAAAAATTCCAAAATTATAAGTTGTGTAATTTTAGGGGTTTTTCAGATTCTAAAAATTTTGGAAACTTTTGGAATTATTAGATACTGCTTCTTTTGGAATTTGAACTGGTGTTGAAATGGATTGTAGTTCCCAAGGAAAAATCTGAATTATTTTGACGATGTCAATTTCGATCCGTTACATTCAATTTTTGCACATAACTAAACATGTCAAGCAAATAGTAATTTCTTAAGGCCATCTATATCGTGAACTTATAATTGATCATATATATATCTATAATACAAGAAATGAACAATATTTAAAGGGTCCATTTGATATACACCCCTCATATAGAAAATATATAGGGATATGTCCACCCCTAAAAATCTTCCTTTGAGATACCCCCCTGGAGAGGCAAAAGTACTATTGTGCCCTTATGTGCAATTTTCGTTCAACTGTATTCAACACTTTACTTACTGTATTTATCACTTTGGACCTGCATTTCAGTATATGTACTGCATATATCATCATTTTTAATTTAATATCTTTTTATTCCTGTATATATATTGTACTATTTTTTATTATTATTTTAAGTTTTTTATAAAATATTATTTTTAATATTTCGATTTTTAAATTTGTTTATTTTTTTAATTTTTTTAATTTTTTTAATTTTTTTAATTTTTTTAACTTTTTTAATTTTTTAATTTTTTTTAATTTTTAATTTTTTTATTAATTCGAATTTTGGTAAAACTACTGTACTGGAAGTTGACTACACATGACTACAAGTTCAATAGTCATGTATAGTTTATATATAGTCGTGTACTGTCTTTTTACTCCAAATTTCATCTACACCAACAAAATTCACAATATAGATTCACAAAAAAAAATGACAAAACATAATCACATGCATATATTCTTCAAACATGAACAAGCATTATTGTACATTAAACAAACCTATAGTACACATATATGTTACTACATGTGACTATAGTTTTCTATAATTATCTATGGTTATATTTATATGTAGTGACATAAAGTCTAGACTACTGTAGCATGAATCCAACTTCACAAGGCACTTCACCGCATCTTATTCTCTGCATCTCATAAAATTATAATAAAAGCAAAACCTGCGACAAAAAAATACGAGTTAAAGAGAAAAATAAAAAAAATGCGAGTTAGATTACATAAAAAATACAAAAAAAAAAAACATGATTTTTTTTATAAACTTATTGTACCTTAAATCGACTACAAATGACTATAGTATACTATAAGGTCCATAGTCATGTATAGTTATATGTAGCCATGACTATACATGACTACATAACACTAGGCCAAAATGCAACACTGGCGACGAAATTTCGCGACGAAATTCGACATGTAGCGACGTTTTTTCGTCGTTAGCGACGCTTTAATTTCGTCGCCAAATCATTAAAAAAGCGTCGCGTACTGCCCCGTCGCAAAGTCAGCGACGAAAATCCAATTGCGACGCAAACCTTCGCGACGAAACTATACATTCGTCGCGAAAACCGTATTTTCTGAAAAAAATTATTTTTTTATTGTTAGCGACGGAAAATTAGTATCGTCGCATGTATTTGCTACGAATTTGTTTATTTCGTCGCAAGTTTACCGAATCTGTTGGCGACTAAATAGTTGTTTCGTCGCCCGGTTCTATTTTTTGTGGCGACGAAAACTGAGTTAGATTTCGTCGCAAACGTTTTTTTTTTTTATTAATTTATTTATTTTAATTATTTTTTATTACAAAATAAAATCCCCTGTTAAAAAAAATAAAAAAAAAAACCAAAACCATATTTACTCAAAAATATTTAAAACCACGATTACCAATTAAATATCAAAATACAACACAAACATCAATTCAAAAATTACATAAAAACTTGAAACCATAAATGTATTAGTTCAAGAGGCACACTAATTTCATCTCGTTTTTATACTCCACCATTAAAACGCTCGAGCAAGTTGTTCAAAAGAGCTCGGGTTTCCTGCAATTGTTGTTCTAATCGATCAACTTTTTCATCTTTAACTTTATTTGTTTCTCGGTTTTCGTTCAATTGTTGTTCCAATCGATTCACTTGTTCGTCTTTCATTTGCATTTGTTCTTGCATTGCCTTCATTTGAATCTCCAGTTGAATCTCCACGTCTGATGGTGTTGAAGAAAATCTCGACTTTCCAATCCTTGTGCTTGAACTTTTAATTCCAAGGCCTTTACTCTTTCCCAAAACCTTTTCAATTGCAGTCGAGTTGGCCGTGCTTTCGTCACTTCCATCACGCATGGTCTCATCATAAACTCGCTCCAAATCAGCCTGAAAATGATTATGTACAAAAGTTTAGCAAAAAATTCGACAGCATAACATCTAAATACGAGCATACCCAAAAAAAATCCTTACCAGTACACAACAACTTGACATATTAAAAAAACAAAATATCCATAGCCACACATCTAAACATATAAAGAATTAACATACTACCGATTGAAGAATATAAGATCCATAGTCATGTATAGTGATATGTAGTCAAGACTATACATGACTACATAGTCATGTATAGTGATATGTAGTCATGACTATACATGACTACATGTAATGACTACATATGACTATATATGACTACATATAACTTTATATTTAACTAGCCGAAATAACACAAACATGACATCCATATCAGAATCATAAGCCCATTCAATAATTAAAAAAAAATAGCAAATCAGGAACTTTACCAAGGTCTTACAAAAAAGAAACATAAATCCATAGAAACATAAATTTTGACGAAAAAAAATTTGAAAACAATTTTATAAGAAATGACCTGCCTAATATTCTTGAAAAAAAGTCCCAAAGATGACTGGAACTAGCCAAAATAACATTAACATAACATCCATAGCAGAATCATAAGCCCATTCAATAAAAAAAAAAAAAAAAAAAAAAAAAAAACAGAAAATCAGGAATTTTCACAAAAACCATCCCGAAAAGAAACATAAATTTCAACGAAAACTAAATTGGAAAAAATGAATTACCTTTAGATTTGATAACGCCGCGCTGCCTTGCATTGACGTTGTCACCAACTATCGCCGGCGGTTTACGCCGTCACACCTAACCCGTCACCACCCGGCATCCGCGGCGCTTCTTCTTCCTCTTCTTTGTCGGCGTCAAATCTGGATAGAGTTCTAGAGAGAGGGAGAGATGAAGAGTTAGAGAGAGAAATAGATGAAGAGAGAATAAGAACTCAACGGTTGAAACGTTGGTTAGGGCAAATTGAAAGTACGTGTTACTATAAGTGACTATATATGACTACCTGTATCTGACTAGACATGAGTATATATGACTACAATTATATGATCACACGTGACTATATATGACTACATGTATATGACCACATGTGGATTATATATGACCAGTGTGACTATATATGACTTGATAACGCAAATCTCTCCAACACTAGAACAAGTATAGCTAAGTTCCGACCAGGAAAAAAATCTGCAATTGCATTAGCCGTGCTCTTATTGTAAAAAAAAAAAACCAATCATAAATCAAAAATCGTGAGAAACATGGTAAAAAAAGTTATTTAAACGAAACGAGAATTCACACGAGCCTATGACAAAAAACTATTAAACCTTTCCATAAAAAGAAATGCAAGAAGAAGGGTTGCATAAGCTTCTATAACACGGATTCTTCATCATCCTGCACAACAAAATTTCATATCTCACATACACTGTGTATAACATATAAATTTGAAAACACTGTCTCACCGAGCACAAATATTTTCCGTCGGCTCGATTAGCCAGAAAGATAGAACACAAAAGAGAAATCACATACACTTGATCCTCCAATTTCAAACAATCGATTCAAAAAAAATTATGGATTTTTTTATAATTTATGTTATATCAAATGACATGAACTTTATCATATGATTGACCCAAAAAAATGCAAAAAATATTCTTAAAATTAAATGAACGCTACAATAACTGATAATTTATGCATCATAAAATTAATCTAAGCACTTCTAAACAATTATATTGCTACATTAAGCAAAGTGGAAACAATATAATTTTTTAAATGGAGTCAATTACTTACCGTCAAATTCACTAGCAAATTGTATTATAATATTGTGCAGCAAAGAAGAAATTAAAGATGAAGAAGCAGTGCGTTGCCGTAGCTCATGTATATGTTGCACCTTTTCTTCCTCTTCTTCGTCGGCGCCAGATCTGGAGAGAAAGAGTTTAATGAGAGTAGATCTGGCAAAGAGGGGAGTGGTGATGGGCGACGATGTCGCCGAAAGGGAGAGCGGCATAAGGAAGACGAAAAGAGGCGCTAGCTAAAGGGGGAACGACGGTGGGCGTCCGTGGGCGGCGGCGGGCGACGGTGGAGTGGCGGGCGGCGGAGGGGTTGTGGTAACGAGAGATTGAAGAAAACGAGAGTTGAAAGAGAGAAAAAAGAAACGCTGGTTAAATTGTGAGGTTAGGGCACACATTAAATTGAAACTAAAAGGGTAAAACAGGTAATTCAAATTGTCCAAGGGGTCTAACAAATTAAGATCAAAATTTGGGTTTTTGCCTAGGAAAGAAAAAAACTATTGGACTTACACATATATATTTCCAAAACTAGGGGGTTATCCCTCATTTCCCCATATTTAAAAGGGCAAATGTCAAATAAGCCCATGATAAGGGCATTTAATCAACAGAGGGATATCCAACTTTTTTGTCTTTTAAATAAATTCAGTTCATTCAAATTTATTTGCAAATAAGAAAAATTCCTTTATATATACCAAAATTACCCCCAATTCACTGAAACCCAATTCAACTCCAATTTTATGATTTACACCGCAATTTAGCCCAATTTCATCAATTAACCAATTTTAACCCTAATTAAATTATGACCCCAATTTTGACCCGCCACCACCGGAGACCGCCGGTCGCTGCCGTTGACCGGCGTTGACTTTTTTTTTTTTTTTCTTTTAATAATTTTGTATTTTCTTAAAAAAAATATTTTAATTAATATTACTCTATTGGCTGCTAAATTACTGTCTCCAGCAGTTATTTAACTGTCGGAGACAGCAATTTAACTGTTAATTGAGATTTTTTTTTTCTCAAAAATATTTTAATTAATATTACTATATTTGCTGCTAAATTACTGTCTCCAGCAGTTATTTAACTGTCGGAGACAGTAATTTAACTGTTAATTGATTTTTTTTAAAAATATTTTAATTAATATTACTGTATTGGTTGCTAAATTACTGTCTCTAGCAGTTATTTAATTGTTGGAGACAGTAATTTAACTGTTAATTGACTTTTTTATTTAAAAAAAAAATTAATTAATATTACTGTATTTGTTGCTAAATTATTGTCTCCAACAATTATTTAATTGTCGAAGACAGTAATTTAACTGTTAATTGATTTTTTTTTTGAATTTTTTTTTCTTAAAATAAATTATTTTAATTAATATTATTGCCTTGGCTATTATATTACTGTCTCCAACAGTAATTTAACTGTCTTAGACAATAATATTAATAATATTACTGTTCGGAAAAATAATATTCATAATATTACTGTCCCAAACAGTAATATTACTGTCTGAGACAGTAATTTAGTAGCCAAGACAGTAATATTAATTAAAATGTTTTTTCTAAGAAAAAAAAAAAAGTCAACGCCGGAATCCGACGGTCAACGGTGGTTGGCCGGCCGGAAAAAAATTCAGGAAAAAAAAAGTCAACGCCAGAATCTGGCCGGAAAAAAAAAATTCAGAAAAATAAATTACTTTATGAAAAAAAAAAATTTGAGGGTTAATGTGATATATTTGTTAAATTCCGGGGTCAATTTATAATATTAAGGAAGTTAGAGCATAATTAATGAAATAGATAAGAATTATATTATGGAGGGTATTTTAGACTAAAGATATGTGATGAGTTTAATTGAGAGACTGTTTTTTTTGTGGACCAGTGTGCATTTAAGTCCCATGGGCCTTTTTGCCATTCGCCCTATTTAAAACCCGGCTCACTTTTAACATTTCACTGCAACAAAGTCTTTTTATATTTTACATAATATTATATTTCGATACTTCATATTATACTTTGAATTTAAATCTGAAACTCCATATTTATACAAAAACAAAAAGTTTATACAAAAACTGATAACTTAAACTTTAATGGTATTATTGACTATAAAAATGAATAACATAATAATAATTTTGAAATATAATTAAAATTAATAATAAATATTATATTATATTTTCAATTTTAATATAATTTTTCTTGATTGTTTAACTTTAATTGCGGTTTCTCCAATTTGAGAAGCCAAATTATAATTTCAATAGTGTATCAAATTTAAATTACCTTGTTGAAGCATGATTTTTTATAGTTGGTCGTTTAAATGATGGGGGCAACTATTTTGAATACTAATTTTTGCTTAGTTGAATACTACCTAGTTGAAAACCACAATTGAGTACATATTTATAAGTTTTTTCTTACTTTAAAACCAAAATAAAAAGAAAATTACAAAAACACCCTTTCATACAAAATATCAATTATATCAAATTTTATTAGAAATTACCTATTCAAAAACCAAATAAAAAAAAAAGAAAAAAAACCCTTTGTTGTAAAAAAAAAAAACCTCCACCGTTCTCT